TGGCATGTGGGATCTTCCCGGACTGGGGCACGAACCCATGTCCCCTGCATCGGCAGGCGGACTCTCAACCACTGCACCACCAGGGAAGCCCTAGTCTCACTTTTTGCTTCAGACCAAATAGGCAGCTCTTAGCCGGCAGGCAAGAAATTTTCCTCAACTGTGCTCACACTTTTCATGCGTTTTTAGTCTTCTTCTCTTGATCCTTTTTTCCCCTCTGCTCAGTTTAAATGCTTTGTTTATAAAGTTAACTTAAGGTGCTTGCATTTCTCTTCATGATGAGAAAAGATTTTATAGATCTCTGTAGCTAATATATATAATTTCTTCTGGTGTGAATTACATTATTGATGGTATAGCTGACATTTATTCAGCACTTGCTATGTGCCCTGCTCCTCCCCTCACCAAGTATTTACATGTATTCACTCATTTATTTAATCCCACCAACAACCCTGGGGGGGGTAGTTATTAGGCCTGTTTTTCAGATGGACAGGAGGTGCTTTAAGGAGATACATTGTAGCCAGTACTGTTGGAAGGTGCAGCTATTATTCATGTGCTTTAAATGCAAGAAATCTAAAATAGTAATCATAACACGGTGCCAGCTATGTGCTGGGTGCTTTAAGGTATTAACAAATTTAATCTCAACCCCCTGAGGTAGGAATGTTAAAATAAGTTATGTTGTTGTTGGGTGACTTTCAGATCCCTTATTTACAATCTTCTTTTGATGACTTTTATTTCTCACATATGTCTTTTTTTTTTTAACATCTTTATCGGGGTATAATTGCTTTACAATGGTGTGTTAGTTTCTGCTTTATAACAGAGTGAATCAGTTATACATATACATATGTTCCCATATCTCTTCCCTCTTGCGTCTCCCTCCCTCCCACCCTCCCTCACATATGTCTTAAGATTGCTTTCTCTCTCCCATCCAGGGAATATTATATATTGATTCTAATCACAGTAATTAAAACTTACTTGGGGCACTGCGTTTGAGCTTTCCATCATTGCTATACAAGAGTCTAAGCTAAAGGCCCCAGCGAGCTGACAGCCAGACTTGCTTATTTGTTTGAAGCGATGACATGCACAGCACAAAATTCAAAAGGTGCAGAAGGATTTCCAGTGCACGTGTGTCTCCTTCCCAGGTCTGTGCTGCCCCCCAGATCCCCTTCCTGGAGGAAAACACCTTTACCGGTTCTTAACCAGAGATAATTGTGTGCAGGCATATGGATTATACATAAACTTGTTTTATAAAATGGTAATGAAATACACATATGGTGGTAACCTTGTTTTTTATTGTAAAACCTTTAAAAATTGTGATTAAAAACATATGAAATTTACCCCCTTAACCTTTTTTAAGTGTGTAGTTCAGAGTGTTACCTGTATTCACATTGTTGTGTGACAGGTCTCTAGAACCTTCACATCCCGCAGAACTGAAGCTCTGCCCATTGAACAGCTCCCTATTCCTCACCCCCATACACCTTGATTTTTTATAAAAAAGTTGTTGATACAGAAGAACATTTAAGAATGTGTAAAGTGTGCAGATGCCTTTCTCTTTTCACTTAACTGTTTATCATAGAGATTGTTTCACACCAGCACGCAAAAAGCTCATCCTTTTTAATTGCTGCAAAGTGTAGCATTTTATGGATGTGGCATAATTTGTTTAATCAGTTCCTAGTGATGGGCATTTAGGTTTTTTCTTTTTTAATATTTTATTTATTTATTTGGTTGTGCCGGGTCTTGGTTGCAGCACGCGGGCTCCTTAGTTGCAGCTCGCGGGCTCCTTAGTTGCGGCACGCACGTGAGATCTAGTTCTCTGACTGGGGATCGAACCTGGGCCGCCTGCGTTGGGAGCATGGAGTCCTAACCACTGGACAACCAGGGAAGTCCCAAGGTTTTTTCTGATCTTGGAAGCAACACTGACTTTCGACCTCTCTGAGGCACCTTGTTTTTTCTTGCCTAGAGAATGTAATTTGATTTTGTTTCATGGTCTTAGCTAAGAGACTGTCTTTAGTGAGTTTCTCACTGGTACTTGCTGATGATTTTAGTAACAGTAACTCACCACATGCTGGGTGCTGCCTGAGCACTTTATTTAGACTCCTGTGAGGTCAGTGCTAATTACACACTGAGACAGGAAATCACTTTCTAAATTTAGTAAAATTGAAGGTGGGACAAGCTCTCCTTTTAACCGGGCTGGTGTGGCCTGCCACTGTGCGACAGGTGTGTGTGGCCTTAGTTCAGCTGTTCTACTGCTTTGCTTTCTGGTTTTAATGTGTTTTATTTATGTATTAGTATCTTAAGACTTATTATTTATAAAAATAATTCATAATAATTCATTAAAACTATTTTAATGTAACTATCCTTCTATATAATATATTTACCTGTGTTTGTTTAGGTGTGATTACTTC